ATTTCTAGATTCTTTATTTTGGGAGCTTGCTTAAGCTATCATGGATTGCCTCTTTATGTTATTTGATATTGACTGTTGTCTCTGAGCCATCAATAAGTTATTATATTTATTTATTTTATGTTTGCTTACTGTGTCCTAGCTTCTTGTTTTGTTTTGATATGCCCAAATAGGGTGCTTGTATGAGCTAGTTTGATTTTTGGCACCTTTGAAGCTCTAATGTCCTGTCACCAGGTGGTTAGATCTATTACTAGGTATGTGAGTTCAGGAGTCTGCTCACTCCTCCTATATGGATTCAGCTTAGTTGTCCAGATAGATAGCCACCACGTGTGTGGTGTAGGCTTTCACTTACAGTCCTAGACAGGCATGGGTGATTGGTGTAGGCACAGGCATTTGGCTGCATCAGGGGGACAGACTCTGAGCAAGGAAGTGGGCTGACAGCCACCCCCAAGTCCAGGTGAAGGCGTGTCCCTGTTCTCTAGGGCACGTAGGTGGGTGGGTTTTGCAGCCAGACTATGAGCACCTAATGCTGTTGACTGTAAGGACTGGGGGGCACCTCTTATTTATGGGCCCCTAACGCAGGGGGCTATGTGGTGAGGGTGGAGCCACCAGTCCTCAGGCCGCTGATGTGAGTAGGTGAAGACCCTGCTCAATGAGCAAAGCAGTGTGAAATGTCAAGAACCTGCCACTTTACAGCTGAAACAGTTGAAGTTAGAGTTCTGGTATATACCGTTGTACTGCGGTAATGAGGGCCTACGCTGTTGAAATGTGCCCACACAAGTCTATGCAGGGGGAAAGGCACTCAAAGTCTGTGGATCCCTCATGTCTCTGCGTAGGCAAAGGAGTTGTGCCTAACTACCCTGGTTTCCTGACTTAGGGGAGCCGGCAGTTTATTTTTTCCCGTTTGTTAATTTGTTCACCCTCCAAGGCCAGGAGAATGGCTCAGGGCATGTGGTGGTTCCTACTTCCGGCCCAGGGGAGTCAGAAATTGCTGAAGCCGGTCCAGGACCCAGTGCAGAGCAGGGAGTGGGGAGGTAAATGGGAGAGAGGTTTTTCCCTAAGGGGGGTGTTTTTGATCCACGCTGTAAGCCGTATGCAAGTACTTATCTTGCACCAATCCCAGGCTGCTTCTCATTGTTTCTGGGCAGCTGTGTAGCGTCTCTGGTGTTGGGTCTCTCCTGGTGTGGAAAATGCTCCTCCTGAGCACTGCTACTTGCCTGCCTCACCACTCACCCTCGAGCTGATCAGGCTTGAAGGGATCAGGCTCTCACCAGGTCAGGACTGGAAACTCCTTTCTGCTTCCGAACTGCCTCTCCCTCCCTCCTGCCACTCAGTCATGTTCCTGAACTCTGCCTTTGATGTTCAGTGCTCCCAGATTGCCATATATAATCGACTCACTTGTTTTTTCAGGTCTTTGTTGTAAGAGGGTCCACCTGAAGCGTCTTGACTACTCCGCCATCTTGGCCCCGCGTTCAACCATTCTTTTTTAAAACCAGAATCCTAAAGGCTTCAGTGGACGAGACTTAAAATCCAGAGTGCTGTGGCTGAGTTCCGTTATCTTACAATCAGTTACTAAGAGGAAAAGGAATCTATGGCCTGTGGCTTACATAAATGATAGCTTTTGGGATACAGGTTAGAGGGACAGCATACCTTTTGTAGGGTATGAGTCACATGCTGCCACAGAAGAGAATTAATGAAGGAACAATTTCCAGCTTTACATGTCTGTTACATTTAATAACTATATTCCTATAACATAGGCTAGAGCTATTCATAATTTTCCAATTCATAAAAATTTTGTATTACTAACAAAAAAAGCCATGGTGACTTTCTAAAGGGAAGAAAATGAATAGCTCTTTGTGGGATTCTTTTTTCCTAAATGTCAATGATCATAAAACTTTTGGCTTCTATTCATTATAGATGTACATTACCAAATATGTTTTTCCTTGACTGCAGTGCCCTGTAGATGTTTGGGTAATAAAAACTCTCCTCACCCTATAAATATAAATTTGAGGAGGCCAGTATTGAGTACTTGTACATTTGAGTACTTGTACATTCCAGGGTATGAAGAAATAATCAGTGCTGAATTTATAAAGTCATTTATTCAAAAAGTGAAACAGAAGAAATTGAAAGTCAGCCTTGTGTCTGTACTTCTACAATTTGCAGTGTCTCAAAAGTCCCAGCATCAATCATGCAACCAAATATGGCTATTGCTCAAATGCTTTCTCTAAAGTGTCTCCCTAGGCACATAATTGTATATCAATTGTGGTGATGTAGGTACTTGTACTTCCAATTAATTGAATGATACTTGGCTTTGTTCACCTCTATTCACTCAAGCCATAGTCTGTCATGCCTACTTCCCCATGCACAATAATTGCAGCACAGACACTCCTCTTCCCTACTATGAGCTATCCGATGTATACTGAGTTGTGATTTCCAGGTGAAGGCTTTTTCTGTCACTGGCTTTATAGAGTTTTTCTCCACTGTGAGTTTTTCTGGTGTTCAATGAGATTTGATCTGTCATTGAAGGCCTTCTGACATTCTATACAAACATAAGGTTTCTTTGCTGTATGAATTATCTGACGCATACTTAGTGTTGCCTTCTGGATGAAAGCTTTCCCACAATTACTGCATTCATAGTGTCTCTCTCCAGCATGAGATTTCTGATGTATATTGAGACTTGACTTCCAGGTGAAGGTTTTTCCACAGTCACCACATTTATAGGGTTTCTCTCTAGTATGAACTTTCTGGTGTGTAAGCAGATTGGACCTGTCATTGAATGCCTTTCCACATTCAGCACATATATATGGTTTCTCTCCTGTGTGAATGTGCTGATGCACATGGAGTTGTGACTTCTTAGTAAAGCATTTCCCACAATCACTGCATTCATAAGGTTTCTCTCCAGTATGAATTCTGTGATGTGCAATGAAGTGTGATTTTTGGATGAAAGCCTTCCCACATTCAGGACAAACATAGGGTTTCTCTCCTGTATGGATTCTCTGATGCACACTTAGTGTTGATTTCTGGATAAAGGCTTTCCCACATTCATTGCATTCATAGTGTCTCTCTCCAACATGAGATTTCTGATGTATTTTGAGGCGTGACTTCCATATAAAGGCTTTTCCACAGCCATTACATTTATAGGGTTTCTCTCCAGTATGAGTTTTCTGGTGTTTAATGAGATTTGACTGGTCAGTGAAAGCCTTCCCACATTCAGTACACATATAGGGTTTCTCTCCAGTATGAGTTTTCTGATGTGTAATGAGATTTGTCCTATGACTGAAAACCTTCCCACATTCTGTACATACATAGGGTTTCTCTCCTGTGTGAATTCTCTGATGCACATGAAGTTGTGAGTTTTTAGAGAATGATTTCCCACAGTCACTGCATTCATAAGGTTTTTCTCCAGTATGAATTCTCTGATGTGTATTAAAGTGTGATTTCTGGATGAAGGCCCGCCCACATTCAGTGCATACATAGGGTTTCTCTCCTGTATGAATTCTCTGATGCATTCTAAGGGCTGATTTTCTTGCGAAGGCTTTCCCACATTCATTGCATCCATAATGTCTCTCTCCAGTATGAGTTTTCTGATGTATATTGAGGTCTGAATTCTGGGAGAAGGCTTTTCCACATTCACTGCATTCATAAGGTTTTTCTCCTGTATGAATTCTCAGATGTCTAACGAGATCTGATCTCTGGAAAAAGGCTTTTCCACATTTGTTACATTTATAGGGTTTCTGCCCAGTATGAATCTTCTGATGTGTAATGAGGTTTGATTTGAGAGTAAAGGCCTTACCACATTGAATGCATATATAGGGTTTCTCTCCTGCATAAACTCTCTGATGTACATCAATTTCTGGCTTTTGAGTGAAGACTTTCTCACTTTTGTTACATTCATAGGATTTCTCTGCTGCATGAACTCTCTGATGATGCTCAAAGAGATGTGACTTCTGGGTGAAGCCCTTTACATAGTCAGTACATAAATAAAGTTTCTCCCTAGTATGAACTTTCTGATGGTGGATGAGGACTTGTTTGTGGCTGAAATGTTTCTCTAACTGATTATGTTCACAGGAATTTACTTCTGTATTAGAATCTTCATTCTTAGTAAAGGAAGAGCTATGGAAATTGTTACCATTTCCAAAACTCTTTTCAAAGTTGTTTGTCGCATTGCTTTTATTATGATTATGTAGGTTAAAAGTATGCTTCAAACTCTTTCCAAATGTGTCATAGTTATGAAGTCTTTTTCTTGAAGGGACAAGCTTGGTACTCACATGAATTATGTTTCCAATGTTTTTACATCCATAGCCCTTCTCCTTAATCAATATTTTCACATGAGTTAAAGGATTATTCTGGTTCCTTTGGTATCTCTCCAGCTGGTCATTATCTTGCCGTAGTTCTTCTAAAATAGAACACACTGAATCTTCCCCTGTGGATTGGTCAAATCTCTCACAGTGGAATGAAACTTCTCCAGAAATTCCCTGTTGCTGGGTTTGCCCAATATCCTCATCTAAAAAGAAAAATTAAAAAATGAAAATGACACAAAGAACAATTAGCAGAGGCTATAGGGTACATGTAACTCAGACAGGCTGAATACAGAGAAAGGGAAGAGTCCATGTGATGATAATGATAATGTGATAATAAAAAATTCATATAGAACACTTAACATATGCAAAACAATTATATACCATTTATTATGTACCAGGCCCTGTTCCAAGTGTAAAAATAGTTCATTTAATCTTCACTACATCCTTACGTGGTAGGTACCATTATTAATCGTGTTTTATGGATGAGGAAACAGAGGCACAGAGAAGTTATGCAACTTGCTGAAGATACAATGGCTAAATATGTGGGAGAGATGGGATTTGAACTCTGGGACTCTAGCTCCACTTATGTAGGAGGTCTGGATAGTGAGTAGAGTAACCAGAAGAAATTGAAAAGTCTGTTAAAGGGAAGCCTAGCCATGGAAGAAATATTTCCAGAATATATGTCCTTATTACATATCAGCCCTAAAAACCTCACTAATCTCTTTGTTCCTCTTGCTTTTCCCTATGAACCATTGTGGGCATCAATGTTAAATTTATATTCTTCAAACACCAATCCCTTCATATCTGTAGGAAAAATGTTGCAACTTCAGCCATCCTGACATAGACAAACACTAAACAGGTATCTGTGCTGCAACCGTGTAACCAGCTGAAATTTTTCTTGGTCCCACAAATACATACTTTTAACAAGAAGTGCAAAATAGGAGAGGAAAAGCTATCTGTGGCAAACTGCAAGTCATGCACAAAAATCTATTCTCCCCTTCCTTCATAGTATTACAATGTAGCCAGGAACTTGGCTACCCAGCTATATTACATTTACCAGCCTCAGTTTGTTCTCAACAATGGAATATGAGCAGAAGTGATATGTACCACTTCCAGGCCAGAGCCTTAAGACAGTAGGTAAATCTCCTCCATGCCCCAACATTAACCACACAGCTGACAAAAATGCCCTGGGATATGGCAGAGTAATGACTTGGAACATGGTTCTTGAATGACCCATCAGGATCAGAGTTGACTTGTTTAACTGGACCCATTCACCTCAGAATTCTTACATGAGAGAGGATATATGTCAATATTAAGCTGTTGTTTTTGCTCCTCTATTCATATTTAAAATGTATTGCCCTTCTAGATATTAACTTTAATCTCAATACACCTCTATGGAGGCGATATTTGCAATGAATTTATAAAGCAGATACTTTACCACTTGTATCCATACTCAATTTGGCACAGTTTTGCATTATAACAGAACCAGTACACAAAGGCTGAAATTATTAACATTTCATGCAGTTGTCAACCCTTTCCAAATATAATCTATAGTCCCTTGATTTCCTCTGAGCTGACACTTGAAAAATCCTTCTGAAAGAGAGCAAAATATCCTCTTCTGCCTATCTCCACAAATTCAATAAATTTAAGCTTATGAAATGTTTCCTACATGCTTAGCTTTGTAAAACTGAAGAATAAGTGTGCCAGTTATCAATTTATTGCCTCTCAACTCCAAATTCACCATTCCTTGCCTGCTCTGCAAAAATGGATTTGGGCTCTTTAAATATATTTTTTTCCTTTCCCAGCTAGCATAATGTTAAGCTTTGTTAGTAGAAGGCAATGGAGAGACACTGTGGGAGGAAGCAGTTTCTCTTCCTGGTTCTAGTGGGCTCAGTTGGTAGGCTCTTCCAACATGGGCAGCTTCTCTAGTACCAGATTCCTACAGGGCAGGTGGCTTCTCTAACACTAAGCTCCTGCGGTGTGGACGACTTGTCAAGCATCCAGCTCCTGCAGCTCATATGCTTCCCAAGCACCCAAGCAAAAGTAGCTTCTCCAGCTCCAGGCTCCTGAAGTGCATGGCAGCCAGCAGTATCCAGCAGCTTATCCAAGCACGCCCCCCTCAGAGGATTTGTAGCAGAATACCTCCGGTGAGACACCTCCTCATGAACAACTTTCTCTGGCACCCTAGAGGGAAGAATTCCAGCAAATTTTGCAAGCATGACACCACAGCAACTCTTCTGTCATGCCATGAGTCGTGGCTATTCCCTCCCAACAAGGTCTGGATCTCATCTGTGGAGAATAAGAGAGGATCTTCCTCGGATGCTCTATCACAGCTCTAGGGTTACTGGATGTTCCTTATATCTGCTATTCCTTTATCCTTTAGCGTTCTCTTTACTTTTAGTAATCTCTCATTACTCCCATATCACTGTATCTAATAATTTTTTATATTAATTTTCCCTGTTCAAATTACTGTCTGGGTTCTCTCTCGTGGTCCGACTCTGAGTTATACAATGGGAAATAGGCTCTTAATTCTAGGGACTTCCTTAGAAAAGAGGTAAAATCCTCAGTTACCATACAATCCAAAATATTGTGGTTTTCTCTCAGTTTCTGTGGGATGGAGGATAAGAAAAAGGGAAGAGCCATATATGCTGGCCATTTCATGGAGCAGGTGAAGTCTGATTACAAGTTGAAAAATGTATTGTGCAAATAGACAGACCACAGAATAAAGAGTCAGATTCAGGAAAGACTATCAGATAGGGTAGACATTAAGGAAAAATGTTAAAAATAGAGTTGAGCGGAAGTTATGGAAATTATACAGATGCAAGTATAAACTGGAAATATGTGGCTGTGTTGTATATCTCATTGAAAAAAGATAGTAAACTTAGGGGGGCTGTGAGTTTATGTTAATGGGGGAGGAACAATTTGGAAAAGGAGAGTGAGAAAATGGTTGCACAACTTGAAGAATATAATCAATGTCATTGAATTGTATGTGTATAAATTGTTGAATTGGTATATGTTCTGCTGTGTATATTTTCATCAACAACAACAAAATAAATTGTTTAAAAAAACCATATGGAGCACAGTTCTACTCTGACACACATGGGGTCACCATGAGTCGGAGTCAACTTGATGGTAACTAGTTTGGTTATGTAACTTTAGCATCAGTCCTGAACTGTTTTATGTTTTCACAAAGTAACAGTGTTGTATTTTAATACCTCATTAAAATTTATGTTGCATTCTTAAGCACGAAAAAAAGAGTTTAATTGTCACATACTACGTAATGAGGAGTAATTGTAGGTTTGTTTCACAAAGCTCATGACAAGATAAACAGAACGTTTTAGATAATGAAATCTGTCATTAGCATTTAAAATCAACTATTAAAAAGAATGGAATCAGAAAATCTAATCAGAAACAGAAGAATCATAATCCAGGCATAAGAAAATATGGAACTGGTTTTGGGTGATATCACCAGGAACTGAGATGAAATGAGAGACGAACTGAGAAGAAGAACTGAGATTTTAAAAATCCTATTTTCCAGAGGTGAAATCACTCCAGAGTTTCACTGTTCAGCCGGGGATTGGACAGCCCCGTAAAACAAAACAGTCCTAATGAGGCACAGCAGTCCAGGGACAAGGACTAGAAGGCAGAAGGGGACAGGAAAGTTGGTGATAGGGAACCCAAGTTTGAGTAAGGACAGTGTTGACATGTAGTGGGGTTGTTAACCATTGTCATAGGGCAACATGTGTACTAACTGTTTAATGAGAAACTATTTTGTTCTGTAAACCTTCATCTAAAGTGAGAATCGGAAGAACGTAATCAACGTCACTGAATTGTGTGCATGTAGACATTTTTGAAATGGTGTCTCTTTGGCTATGTATATTTTCACCAAAAAAAAAAAAGTTGAGAAGGGAGAGGGTTGACATGTCGTGGCGTTGTTAACCAATGTCATAAAACAATACGTGTACTGACTGTTTAATGAGAAACTATTTGTTCTATAAACCTTCACCTAAAGTACAATAAAAAAAACTTAAAATAAAAAAAAGGAAGCTGGTGATAGGGAACCCAAGGTTGAGAAGGGACAGTGTTGACATGTCGTGGGGTTGTTAACCATTGTCATAAGGCAATATGTGTACTGTTTAATGAGAAACTATTTGTTCTGTAAACCTTCATCTAAGGTACCAAAAAAAAAAAAAAAGAAGAAGAAGAATTATCTATGTGAGATCAAATTGATAACAGAAACTCAAAAGGTTTGATGGGAAGCCTAGGGGGCAGTGAGTTGAAGAAAATGGTGATGGAATAACTTGGAAAAGGATAGTGAGAATAGCAGCACAACTGGAAGAATGTAATCAATGTCACTGAATTGTACATGTAGAAATTTTTGAAATGGTGTAATTTTGGCTATGTGTATTTTCATCAAAAAAAAAAAAGTCCCCCAAGGTCGAGAAGGGAGAGTGTTGACATGTCGTAGAGTCATTAACCAATGTCATAAAACAATATGTGTACTGACTGTTTAATGAGAAACTATTTGTTCTGTAAACCTTCACCTAAGGTACAATAAAAAAAATTTTTAATCCTATTTTCAAAAAGGGAAAAGCAGTAGGAACTGCAGAGTGATTAATTCAAAAATGGCTGAGAGGCAAAATTTAAGAAACACTGACAGAATTTGACAAAATTTGGAAGGTGAGAAGGTGATGACTAATTTCTGATGCATTGAGGATCAAGAGAAACATCTCATGGGAACTCTTTTGGTAGGTAAATATCGTACTGAAGTACCAATGAAAAGCAGACTGGATATGTCAAAACAGGGGTCATCAGAATTTCAGTATGGATGAATTCTTACACGTATATGAAGAAAAGACTGGTTAACAATACACAGGGTACCTAGGGGAACCTCGTTTATGGGAAAAACAAGGAACAGAAGGCTGGAAAGAAAAGGAAAATAATAAGTTGGGTGTAAATCAATAAGAAACTGACAGGAAAGTCAGTTGAAACAAAGGAAAACATTATGAACAAGTAATTCATAGGAGAGAAACTCAAATAGATAACAGATGAATAATTAAATGCTCAAACTAGTTACTAGAGAAATGCAAAACAAAAAATGAGATGCCACTTCATACCGATTGTTGGCCAAAAAATTAAAAACTTTAATACTACTAATTGTTAGCAGAAACTCTGGGAAAGCAGGAACTCTTGAGCACTATTG